GCCGGCTGTCCCAGCTCGGGAAGGCTGGGGACCCGGGAAGGGGGCGGTGCGGTGCGGGAGGAATGGAGGCTGAGGGAAGCATTAAAGTAGGCCGAGGGGGGCATGGAGCCGCTTTCCCAGGCGCTGCCTCTTTCTCTCCTGGATAAAGCGTGGTCCTGTACAGGTAGGCTGGGAGACTTCCCAAGGAGGCCGGAGGTGGGCCTGTGATAGACAAGGCAGCGTACCTTTGTGGGATCCCAAGCTGGTCGCCCTGCAGCAAGCCACTTCTGCATCAGGCAGAGGTGAGCGGTGCAGGGCCAGTAGGGGCTACGGCACCCACACGGGCGGTGTAAGCCCTGAACCCTCTCCAAGTAGGTCCTGGTGACTAACACTCATTTCTTCTGTTGACTGAAAGGTGTCGTTACTTCTGGGGCATCGAGCCAGGTTAAACAGAGATTTTGCCCCGAAGGCATTAATTAGGGACCAATTTGCAATTCAAGTGTGAAGGCTAATTTTAAGCTTAAGTTAAAAGGCTGACTTTCTAAGAACTGTCATTCTGATACTGAACCCTTCCACACCACAAATACTCAGAGCTTCCCGTGCTCTAGCCACAAAGCGGGGCACTTGAAGGGGATGTATGATTGCTATTTCACAGAGGGCACAGCTCCAAAGCCGAAGTGACTTTTGCAAGGTCACACAACTATGTGGCGGGCACAGGGCAGGTTCCACCCATTTTCAAAGATGGGAGAACAGTAACTTTAATACTTTATCAACAAGTATTCACTATTTCAGTACTGTGTATTAGGCAACAGGCTACTGGGGACAGACTACCAGTTACAGGGGACTAGTTGAATGGCTAGATGTAGGTTCTGGCCTCTGCTTTCTCTCAAAATCCCAGTGATATGACAGCTAGAGGGATTTATATTTTTAAAGGCATAAAACCAGAAACAAAGAAAGGGAAAGGAGACACAATAAAATATTGGAAGTGGGGAAGCAAATGTGCAAGTGTTAATTAATGGAGCAGACCCAAGAAAGCTGAACTCTAAACTGGCTGGAGAAAGGCTGAAATGCAAACCAGATAACAGCGTATCTCAGAACAAAAGGCTCAGGAGTGGGCAGCGCCAAGGACACACCGGATGAGTGAAGGCAGGAATAAAAAACCAAGGAAACGGATTAAAACTTTCTTTTTGGCAGTATTGGTGATTGAACGAAGGGCCTTCACACTGAGCTACACTCCCAGTCCTTTTTAAGTTTTCAAAAATTTTGAGCCAGAATCTTGCTAAATTGCCCCAGCAAGGCTCTAACTTGATTCGCCTGCCTCAGCCTCCCAGAGGACTGGGATTACAGGTGTGGGCCACAGGTCCTGCTGATTTTTTTTAAAAGAAATTGGATTTCTGGATCCCTTTCATGCCCATGCCCCAGAAATTGTATTTTCTGAAGATATAACTAAGGGTCTGAGCCAAGGGTGTCTAGGCACAGTCGAGGGCAAGAGTGCCTTACTAAAAAAAATAAAGTAGATAAAGTGAAAGCTTGTATATGGAATGTCAAGACCCATGGGCTTCTTTCTTAAGATCATGGAAGCCAAAACCTCTAACCCTCTCTGGAGGGCCTCAATAGGAGGAAAGACTTAGAGGAAGTTTCTCAAAGAGCAACCTGCCAAGTGACACAACCTGAGCTGGCTAGATCTGCCAATAAGCTCCCCCCACCCAGTATTGAACCAAGGCCTTTGCGTTGAGCTAATCTCTAGTCTTTTTTTATTTTATTTTTGAGACAGGATCTCTCTAAGTTGCTAAATTTCTCAAGCTGCACTCAAACTTGGCAATTTTCCTGCCTCAGCATCCCAGAATGCTCAAATTACAGGTGTGTACTACTATGCCAGGCTTCACTAAGCTTTCTACAGCCCTAGTTTGAAATATAAATGGCATCAAACATTTGAGGAAAGCCTATGATATAATAAGTAGAGGTCAACACTTAGAAGATAAAGCAGTTGCGAGGAAATAAAATGTATCATTACATGTTTTACATATATACATATGTTTATACCTGTGTGTATACATACACACGTATACATTTTATACATATATCATTATACACATACACATTTCAGTATTTTCAGGGAAAATGAGAAGATATTATAACTAAAAATTTTTAGAAGAAGCCCAGCATGGTTCATGTGCCTGTAGTCCTAGCACTCAGGAGGCTGAGGAGAGAGGATCACTGAAGCCCAGGAATTCTTAACCGGCCATCTCGTTCAGTCTTAGTGAGTCTTCAGTCATAGTGACTGCAACAGTAAGCAGAAACACCGAAACGACACCCAGGGTTTGGCGACAGATTTATTTACATCAATAAGCACTGACCAGGATCATTCCCAGAATATCAGGCCCCGATCTCTGGTGGTCTAGGGCTTATATTGGATAAGCAAGCAGGAAGTACAGAGGCAGAACAGCTTGTCAATTGAGGATTGGTTTATACAATGTGCATCCCAGTGACCAGCTGTTTCTAAGAGACCAGAAGCAACCAGAACTGGAACAGGAACTATTATTACCTGGGCAACTAACAAACTGAAGTATACTGCCGGGCGGAGCGGGGGCATTTTCTGTCACAACTCTATCTCACACAAAAGAACAATTTAGAGTGAGATACCACCAAAAGAGAATATTCAGGAAAAATAAAATTCTTAGACAAGCACATGAAAAGATGTTCAGTGTTATTAGTTATTCAGGAAATGCACATGAAAACCACCTCACACCTACTAAAATAGCTCCAAAGAAAGCAGGAAATTGCAAGTATTGGTGAAAATGTGGAGAAATTGGAACCTTGCCAGGCATGGTGGCGCATGCCTGTAATCCCAGCATTTGGGAGGCTGAGGCAGGAGGATCGTTGTGAGTTCAAAACCAGCCAGGGCTACAAAGGGAGCTCAAGGCCAACCTAAACTGCAGAGTGAGACCCTGTCTCAAAAAAGACAAAAAGAAAAGAAATTGGAACCTGTATGTTGCTGATAGGAAGGTAAAATGGTGAAGCCTCTGGGCTAAACACTGTGTCAGTTCTTCAAACAACTATATAGAATTACCATAGGATCTAGCAATTCTACTTCTAGGTATGTGTTCCAAAGAACTGAAATAAGTGCTCTAATAAAAGCATGTGCACAAAAGTTCATAGCAGTACTATCTACAATAGCCAAAAGATAGAAACAACCCATTAACTGATGAATAGATAAAATGTGGTGTATGGAATACACGATGGAATATTACTCAGCTATAAACATGAATGAAGTACTAATACTTACAAAGCATGGATGTGCCTCAAAAACATGCTAAGTGAATGAAGCCAGATACAAAAATCCTCGTGTGGTACTTTCTCATTTATAAGAAACATCCAGAATAGCCAAATTCATAGAAAGAAAAAGCAGATTAATGTTTGCCAGGGATTGGGGGAGAGACGGTGGGGAGTGACCACTCACAGGTGTGCGATTTCCATTTGGGTGATGAAGATGTTCTGGAACTGGATAGTGGCAATGTTCACACAACACCGTGAATGTACTAAATGTCACTGAACTGTACACGTAAAATGGTTAAAAGGGGAAAATTTTATGTACACATTAACATCTATCACCTTGGTTGTTAAATAATATGAGACATTTTAAATTTCAATGCAAAACTTAAAAATCCCACAGGAAGTAGAGCCAAAGGACAAAGAGATAGAAAATGAGAGAAGATCTTTAAGGCTCCAGAAAGGAACAAAGCAGATTCATTATAAATGATCAGGAATCAGAAGGGCACCACGCTTGTTTATGGCAACTTTGCAAGATACAGAGAATGGAGCTTCCTGGTTCCAGCTGAGTATAAATCAGGTGTGAAGATTGATGAAAGAATCTTTTGGATGTGCAAAGACAACCTCTGTGTCTCAGGAAGCTGCTGGAGGACACCACCAAAATGAGGATTTAAGCCAAGGAAATAGAACACATGGGATGCAGGAAAGAGGTTGTTGCAGCAAGAGAGGTGATGAGCAGCTGAGGGTGAATGGGGCAGAACCAAAGGTGCCAGAGTTAGGAGGCCCCACCCCAGAATGAAGACTTCTTCAGGACAAAATCAAGAATGCACTTGGGTGGCTGTAATCCCAGCTACTCAGGAAGCTGAGGCAAGGGATTGCTTGAGCTCAGGAGTTCAAGGCCAGCCTGGCCATATAGAGAGAAGCTGTTTCCACAAAAGTGGGGGGGGGGCAGGAAAGGAAAAGTGAAGGAAGGAAAGAGAATGAAAGAAGAGAGGGAGAAGGAAGAAAAAAGAAGGCAAAGAAAGAAAAAGGAAGAAAAAGAGAAAGGGAAGGAGGGAGGGAAGGAAGCAAGGAAAAGAAGGAAGGTCCTAGCATGTGTGAGGCCCAGGTTACAATCCCTAGCACTGGAAAAAAATGTATTTGAACACACAGAAAACAAAGATCATAGTTTTGGGAGAATTTTGAAAAACATTAGTGATAAATCCTTTAAAAACTAAGCAAATATGCATATTTATTAACTTTCAGGAAAATAAAATGGTATAGAAAAGGGGA